TGTGTGGGGGGGAGTGTGTGTGTGTGTGTGTGTGAGTGTGAGTGTGTGTGTGAGTGTGAGTGTGCGTGTGTGTGTGAGTGTGGTGGGGAGTGCTTGACTCACCTGAACCACTCCGTGAGGTGAGTGTTGGGGTGTGTGTGTGTGTGTGTGTGTGTGTGTGTGTGCGAGTGTGTGTGTGTGTGAGTGTGAGTGTGTGTGTGAGTGTGGGGGGAGTGCTTGACTCACCTGAGCCACTCCGTGAGCCTTGTCCTTCAGGCGGTAATGAACAAACGCAGATGGTGGGCAGATAACTCCGTCCACACGAGGCTGTTGTCCTGTCAGTTTCCTCCCTTGTAAGCCCCGTGAGACGTCTGGGTGGGCGGTCCCGTTGACCCCCGGCTCTGACCACGTGTGAAGGTCACTCTGGGCTGTAGGTCCATTAGACATGTTCTTTTGGAAAGGGAAAAAAAGAAGGAATTCTAACAGCTGCAGTTTTCTTCTTTCAATACATGGAAACACTCACCAGAGAACAGAAATAACAGAACGTGCAACACTGGACGAACCAATGGATGACAGCAGCCCTTAGGCTGAAACCTTTCCCTTTGGACTGACCTGATCAGCGACGTACTGGTCCTTCGTGTCAGCGCGTGGGTCGTGCCTCGCTGGTCTGTGGTCAACACCCACTGGACCTCTGCCAGGTCTGTGGTCAACACCCACTGGACCTCTGCCCCGCCCGCCTGGCTCACCGGAGACCTTGTGGTTCGAAGATACAACAGCTGGCGTGTCTTCTGAGTCTGAAACATGACGTGGAGTCCGCTCAAATCAAACTTGATTAATCTGAAAACAGGTCAACCCAAAGAAAACAAAAAGCTCCGACGTTTTTCTCCGATGAGAGCAATTTCTCTAAATGTGTCGTCGCCACACGTTGGAATCGGGCGCTCGTCAATGTTGGGCAGAGGGAGTTATTGGTATCAACGAAAAGTTGGTCATGAAGGAATATGTTTTTTAATGGATATAAAAGGTGTAGACCCCCCCCCCCAAATTGATAAAAATTACCCAATGGAAATGTCAGTTTCTTCGATTTCCTTATTTTGACGAGCGCCTGATTCCACCACACTGCGACACAAATAAAAAACCTGGCTAAACCGAAGTGGTGGCTGCACAAATATTGGTTCAACGGGACTTCCCCTTACTTTGTTGGGATTCATTTGTATTTTGTCTGAACACAGTTATAGATTTACAACATTTGTCTGAACACAGTTATAGATTTACAACATTTGTCTGAACACAGTTATAGATTTACAACATTTGTCTGAACACAGTTATAGATTTACAACATTTGTCTGAACACAGTTATAGATTTACAACATTTGTCTGAACACAGTTATAGATTTACAACATTTGTCTGAACACAGTTATTGATTTACAACATTTGTCAGAACACAGTTTTAGATTTACAACATTTGTCTGAACAAAGTTGTTGATTTACAACAAGCTTTCACTTAAAGAACAGTGCTGTGTTTTCACTTTTGGCGAGGTGACGTCGAAACAATGCCTCTCACAGAAAGATTAGGATGATTTTGACGAATCTCACACGAAGGTTACGACACCGGCAACTACATTGTAAGGCACAAAAATGGACGATGGACCTGCCATGGAGCTAAAAGAACACATCTGGTACAGACAAAGGAGGACCAGGGAGTGACACTTGTACAGACTAAGGACCAGGGAGTGACACTTGTACAGACAAAGGAGGACCAGGGAGTGACACCTGTACAGACAAAGGACCAGGGAGTGACACATGTACAGACAAAGGACCAGGGAGCGACACTTGTACAGACAAAGGAAGACCAGGGAGTGACACATGTACAGACAAAGGACCAGGGAGCGACACTTGTACAGACAAAGGAGGACCAGGGAGTGACACTTGTACAGACAAAGGACCAGGGAGTGACACTTGTACAGACAGACAACCACTGACCACTGGCTCCGTGGATGGAGCTGAGAGCGTCGATGTCATCTGAGCGTGGAGAGATAGACGTGGTGGCGGGCCGGGGAAACAGCGGCGCCCCCTGGTGGGCAGTCAGTTCTTCCTCGTCGTCCACACTCATTATCTCCGCTCTGGTCGACACCTCCTCTGTGGGGGAACATCACACGTGTGTCACAACAACGACAACACAGAGACACATCACACGCGTGTCACAACAACGACAACACAGAGACACATCACACGCGTGTCACAACAACGACAACACAGAGACACATCACACACGTGTCACAACAACGACAACACAGAGACACATCACACGCGTGTCACAACAACGACAACACAGAGACACATCACACGCGTGTCACAACAACGACAACACAGAGACACATCACACGCGTGTCACAACAACGACAACACAGAGACACATCACACGCGTGTCACAACAACGACAACACAGAGACACATCACACGCGTGTCACAACAACGACAACACAGAGACACATCACACGCGTGTCACAACAACGACAACACAGAGACACATCACACGCGTGTCACAACAACGACAACACAGAGACACATCACACGCGTGTCACAACAACGACAACACAGAGACACATCACACGCGTGTCACAACAACGACAACACAGAGACACATCACACGCATGTGTCACAACAACAACACACAGAGACACACCACACGCGTGTGTCACAACAACACACAGAGACACATCACACGCGTGTATAACAACAACAACGACACACAGAGACACACTGGGACCTTGCTGGTACAGTGCAGTTGTACAGAGGGAGGGACGGGACGGGAAGGAGAGAGGGATGGGGGAGGAGGGGCTGAGAGAAAGAGTGGGAGGGAGGGAGGGAGAGAGAGAGAGAGAAAAGGAGAGACACTCTCTCTCTCTCTCTCTTCAGCAATCAGCTACAAAGACAGATAAGAAAAATAAATCCAACAACAGAACTTGACATCAGAAAAAAGAAACTAACCATCCAATCTTTCATTACCAGAAATACAGGGAGATCCAAAAAACTGTACAACCTTTTTTTGGTTAATATTTTCCTCCACACTCGAGTTTTGCGTTTCAAATTTGTACACAACATTAGGAAGTGAAAAGGAATTTGTCAGATATTTATTTGTGAAAAATCCACAGAATAGTTTCCTATTTCCAGCTATTTCCCCGTTTGTGTGACACGACACACTAGTTCGCATTAGGCCTACCACTAGAAATCCTAACGATTGCGCCATATTACATACTACAGTAGTCTAACAGGCCAGTAGAAGTTTGCAGATAGATTTTCTCAAGTTTCCTTTGCCTGCTGAGATCATGGTTAAGATTAGTAAAGAGCAGAGAGCTTTTTGTATTGAACGTTTCCTCACCACCAACTCATGTCGTAAGTTTCGCCAAAGGCACAGAAATAATGTTAGAGTGCCCTTAAGGCCTCCTTTTTTTTTTATAGTAGAGGGTTTTACGGCGCTCCCAACTGCATAAGGTCATATGAGCGCCAAGGGGTGGGTGTCAACAGAGAAGTCTTT